CGGACGACGCCAGACCGGACATCAAGGCCAGGGGGTTTTGGTCGGTACAGACTGATGCATTTTTTTGATGTAAGGGTGTTCTATCCCAACGCACAGTCGTACCGATCTCGCCCGCTGGCTGAGGTGTTCCAATGGCACGAGCGTCAGAAGCAGTCGGCATACGGTGCCCGGATCCGGGAAGTTGAGCACGCGTCGTTCACCCCGATCGTTCTGTCTTCTGCTGGTGCCCTGGCGAAGGAGGCCACCCGGTTCCTGAAGCTGCTCGGAACGAAGCTCTCCACCAAGCTCTCGCAGCCTTATCCCCTCGTGATGGGAAAGCTGCGGACGGACCTGGCTTTCAGCCTTGTCCGCGAGTCGGTCCTGATGGTTCGTGGGAGTCGCCGTGCATTCCGTGCACCTGGTCTGGCGGCGGATGTGGATGCTGTTTCTGTGGAGGCCCGCATTCCCACCACTATGTGACGCTAAGTCCTCCTGGGGTTTGCCGCTCTCCGGTCCTCTTTCATCCCGTTCTCCCCTCTTTTTTGGGGATTCTTTGTACTTCGTCTTTCTTGTTTTTCTTGTTCCTTTGTTTTTGTAGGACAGATTTTTGGTGTACTGATTTCGGTCGTTGTTGTGTCTGACTCTATTCCCAATATCTAATTCTGTGGTTGGTTTTCCAACTCACTGGGTTGTAGTTTCCATCATGAGTTTGATTCCATCGTGAGTTTGATTCCATCGTGAGTTTTGATTCTATTTGCTATTTTTCGTTCCATTTTTGAGCTCATATTTTTATTTTCCTGATTTCTTCTCCAGTGTATGTTGTATTGCATTTTAATACATTGTGTTAATTTTTGCCCGTAAAAGAGGCTTGCACTTCATAATAATAATAATAATAATAATGGGCCGGCCCCGCTGTTTTCCATGCTTTCAAATTACAGCTTTCTGATGCCTGCTTTATTGTTGACCAAGATGGCGTGTAATATTCTCAGCTAGTACAATGTTCATACATAAATAGGAGATCCCCCAGATAGGCGTTAGCCTTTGGGTAATCCTGAAATAAAGATTATTACAGTATTATTATTATAGCTGTCAGTCATTGTTGCATTGTGCACAAAATGGGTCTCTCTCTCTCTCTCTCTCTCTCTCTCTCTCTCTCTCTCTCTCTCTCTCTCACACACACACACACACACACACACACACACACACACACACACACAGAGTCTCACTTCGAACTCTCCTTTTCCGTGGCTTTCTCCACCACAGAATACCAACACTACATCTCTGTGCGTCTTCAATGCAAAACCACTACTGGTATTCAATTAAATTAAGGTATGGCTTCTGCGTACTCTCAAGTAGATCACAATCAAGCTTGTCGACTCGATCGTATTCATGATAAATACATGACATGTACACCCAGGATCTTCGGAAATCAGAGGCATGTTCTATCCAAGCGTTTCACAAAATTTCAACTCAAACTTCCACAAAAAAACCCACAAGTTACAACAGCATAATACTGACAGACCTACAGTGCAGTGCTGGCAACTGAAATCCGACCCCTGAGCGGTGCGCTCACATCGCAAAGACCCAAAGTTACACTACGAAATGGGGACCGCTAGAATGTGAACGCACCGCCCAGGCCAGGGCGTAGAATTCAGACGAGTTGCCAGCACTGTACTTCGGTAAGCAGCAGCATGCTATAGTATAGCAGCATGTCCTCTCCAGGGTGTACACGACTCCCTGATCTACAGTGTACACTACATTGCCTACTGCAGATAGTCATGTACATGTAGATCTCCTTACTTGTCAAGTTATTTTAAAGGTTTGACAACAGCTGTCATGTGACAACAGCTGTCATGTGACAACAGCTGTCATGTGCCTCTCCACGATCACGCCATGCACGGACAAGAACCAGTACAGTCTAAGTGACAGTCTGTGTTCTTGTCTTTTTTTTGACGTTTGCTACTCTTGAAGTTTGCCGTACATCATCGTGCATCATTGTGCATCATTGTGCACATAGCACATCGGTTGCATAGCGACATGTACATGTAGTGGCATACTAATGGCATGCTAGTAATGGGACACATACCGGTACTTGACAGCAGATTTTGTTCGGTTGTCAGGTACGTCGGGTCACAAGGTAGAAACTTGATCGTCCCTCTGACCTGCTCCCGGAGAAACGCCAAGTGATATACAAGCGAGGATTAGTGCTGCCTTTGCTAACTGCTAAAAACAGCGAGTCGCTGGATACTAGTAGAGCGCACGATGGTCTGAATTCGGGATTGCGGCATCACCTGCCCTCGGCCATCTGCTGGGCAATGGTATTAGTGTGTCGACAAGCCATCTATTCCACTGCCAGTCATGATGTCTGCGCACTGCATGGCAGCTACGGACGGGGCTCTGCCAACCGTGGATAGTTGTAGTAAGGGACACTGTCTCCGAACACGGTGTTCCACCACCTTGTAATATGATGACAAACTGAAATACAGTACAGTCAGTACCAAGATTATAAGATTTGATGCAGAGTTCTGTCAGTAGATCTACTCATACCTCTCTTCCTCGTCTCGGTGCATGTGCCAGGTTTCTTTCTATGCACCGCACGACTACGGTAGGTTAGGAGGGAAGGTAGCATGGACACAGCTCCAGCACCCACCACCTCTGTAGAGGTTCCGCAGCCGGACGACATGAAGCCGCTTGAATCTTCGACTTCGCCAGGCAAGCCGATAAGCCCCGAATTGGTAAAAGACCATCTGGCCATTATCGGTGACCTGAAGGAGAGGGTGGAGCGCATCCTGCTGGAAAATCCCGATGCGGTGGTATCCATACCTCAACTTCTCCAGCAGCGGGGTAGCGATGTGCGCAAGCTGAACATTCTGCTCGTTGGCCCAAGTGGTGCGGGAAAGTCGACACTGGCTAACACATTGCTGCTCGAGGAATTCTCCCAGGTAAAACATGCAATCTCGCCTATGCCCGTCACCGAGAAACTGGCATTTGAAACCACTCGAGTAACAACAGGCAACAGAGACTGGGAACTACGCATTTGGGACTGCCCGGGCTTCGTAGGAGCCAACGATAAGGACGAGAAAGTCTTGTCGGACATCAAATCAATGATCAGCGTCTCCGGCGAGCCAGACCTGGTCATTCTGTGCTTCGATATGGCCGCTAATGGAAGTCGCCGCCTTTTCAACGTGCACGACCATTATGTCAAGAAACTGAAGGAAGCGAATGGAGGAAAGCTGTTCAAGCGGTGTGCAATTGCTATGACCAAAATCAATCTGTTAGCTCAGATGTACGAGCGGGATGCTGAAGAGGAGAAGCAGAGGCAGCGAGCGGAATCGGCCAAGATGCGACAGGAACGAGGCAAACGCATGCACAAAGCTACGGCCAATGAAATTGACGAGGACGCATTTCCTGAGTGGCACGGGAAATTTCTCATGGATCTCGCCCAGTGGAAGAAAATCTGGCGTGATATCCTCCTGGGTGCCGAAATTCCGATGCCAGTCGTCGACACAATTCCTGTTTGCATGTTTGGCGAGATGATCTTCGATCACAACACGAAAAAGCCAGTCGATGTCACCCCAATCGGTCCCTGGCAAAAGCAATGGCTGCGAGACAACTGGACAATGCTGGTGAACGCCTGTGCAGACGAGCTGATTCAGCTCTTCTTCTTCGTATGCCACAAGTTCCAGGTGAACGAAGCGATCAGCCGCGAAGTGCGCCACTACGGTCCCAACGGCACCTACCTGGAGTTTGAGAAGGAGGAGCTGCAGCGCGCGGCCGTGCTGGCCACCGTGGGCGTGCTGGGCATGGGTACGGCAGTCGGCGCTGCGCTGGCGCCATTCACGTTTGGCCTGTCGGCACTCACCATAGCGTTCGTTCTCGTCGGCGCCGCAGGCACTGCCGGTACTGGCGCCGGCTTATTTCAAGTGTGGATGGATCACCGACAAAAAGAGAGGGACTTCCCGGTGAAGTGGTGTGAAAAAGAAAAGAACCGGAAGGAGGAAGCAAACCACGTGTTCTTGGAGAAGCCGGCCAGCGAGGTATTGGAGAATTTGAAGTCATTGGAAGACGAATATACAGTGAAACCTGTCTAAGCCGACCGCTCAAGGGACCTTACAAATGCGGTGCTTGTATACAGGTGGTCTCCTTATCGAGAGTCATTTGGCTGGAAATCACATCCCTTGGTCGTGGTGGTAGTGGTCCCGTTGTAGCCGGGTGGTTGCCTTATCAGTGTGGTCGCATTGACAGGTTTTACCTGCTGCACACCATGATTATCCTGCATCACTGTATGAACGGAGTGTGCTCCATGTGCAAGATCTACTTCAAGTGCTACTAACTGTTGCTGCTGTACGGCATTATGGGTAACTAACACTAACACTTGATCGAAGAACATTATTATGCAATTTACTACATGTTTTTAATCGTGTGATTTACAATTTTTAAAAGTATTAAAAAAAACACTGTAGGACTATAAGTAGCCTAGTAGCTGGCGGGATACATGTGATGCATAGATCTATGTCATAGAGGAGTCAATATTCTTGGTCTGTAACTTTCAATTGTCCACTACATGTATACTGAATACTACTTCCGTGAGTTCGGCTGATTGGAGAATTCCAGCAGAATTGATTTAATTAAAGAAAAACACCACAAAACCGGTTGCAGAGAGAGAGGGAAGGAGGGAGGGAGGGAGGGAGGGAGGGAGGGAGGGAGGGAGGGAGAGAGAGAGAGAGACAGAGAGAGAGAGACAGAGAGAGAGAGAGAGAGAGAGAGAGAGAGAGAGAGAGAGAGAGAGAGAGAGAGAGAGAGAGAGAGAGAGAGAGAGAGAGAGAGAGAGAGAGAGAGAGGGAGAGAGGGAGGGAGAGAGAGGGAGGGAGAGATAGATAGATAGATAGAGAGAGAGAGATAGAGAGAGAGAAGAGAGAGAGAGAGCTACAAACTGCAGCATTCCTAAAGAAAGCTGGGTCCAAGCTAAGCACTAGGTGTTCAGGACACACCAGCTCCTGACAACCTGAGCGTAGCTCAACTCCTATCTACCCGGCATATAGTCCGACCTTGAGTACGCAAGCAATACACATGTACATTGCCCTCGCACCACAGAATATGATGGACTAATCAAGATCGGTAAACGTGCACCACGCAAAGCTTTCGCTGACCACGCATCAGGGAGATGTTTCAGGAAAGACAAACACGGCAGAAGAAAAAAACACGCTGGAAACTGGGTGAAAATCATCTGCGCTTGACAAGAAGAAAGAAACACAGGCTTGCTCACGGAAAACACGGAACACGAGAATAATGGTCGTCGCCATAATCACACCGGACGAGACACACTGGAGACTCTCTTGAGCTGGAGAAAAATAGGAACACTTGCAGCATGGGTGCGCACGACAAACAAAGCAAGAAGTGAAAAGGAGCAGCGCTCCATGCATCAGTCCCAATGGACCGATGGAAAGATGAATAGTATCCGCTATACATCATAGTTTGTGTCTCAAATAGGAACTTGGTTACTCACTTCAAGAACTGCACCGTGATGAAAATATGCAAAGGGACCACACAGCAAAATTTGTTAGAGTAGAAAATCAGAAAGACGTGATGGTTGTGACAACGAACGCCCTGTGCACGTGGCAACTGAACGACGGCTCAATAAAACCGGTAGCCCGTGGAGCACTAGCTGAGGACACCAGGAAGAGAGAGAGAGAGACAGAAAAACAACAGACTGTTTTAAAAGATCTAACAAGCATGCGGGGACTGTACCATGTGGTCATCCAAACACACCAGGGACTGCTTTCAAGGGTGGGGGTTGGGACTACCGTAAAGTCTTGTATAAAAGCCGCACTTGAATAGAAGCCGCCCTCAAATAGAAGCCGCAATTTTGGGCCCATCAAATCACACAAAAGCCTGGTTTTAGTGTTGACATACATAGAAATACCTGTCTTGTGTAGAGGCCTGTCTCATATAGAAGCCTGCAAAATTTCACCGAGAAAGTCATAGAAGCCGCGGCTTTTATACAAGACTTTACGGTATTTACAGTCAACCTCGCAAACCAGCCATACAGGGTGGTGGCGTTCCTATGGATACAGGGTGGTGGCGTTCCTATGGATACAGGGTGGTGGCGTTCCTACGGATACAGGGTGGTGGCGTTCCTACGGATACAGGGTGGTGGCGTTCCTATGGGTACAGGGTGGTGGCGTTCCTATGGATACAGGGTGGTGGCGTTCCTATGGATACAGGGTGGTGGCGTTCCTATGGATACAGGGTGGTGGCGTTCCTATGGATACAGGGTGGTGGCGTTCCTACGGATGCGTTAGACTCGGCCTCCAGCCGAGTCTAACGCAAACCGTGATTTTTTGCAAACGACACACGCAGTCGGGCACGGAAAAAGCGTTGTTGTCCGCGAGTTGTCACTGTTCGGGAGGTCGAACGTACGTATGCAGTCAAAATGGTTACTCGGTCTGAAGAATAGTGTCGTCAATCGCGAGTTGTTGTTATTTACCAGGTTGACCTTACATCATGTTGATACCTGGAGACCCCCCCCCCCCCCCCTTTAGATAAGCATTTACTACTGCCATTTAGCCTTCGGGGAATCCTTATTAATTTTACAAGTTGTCTTACTTGAAGTACTGGTCATATACGTAAGACAGAGAGCAGAGGTTCAGTTGGGTTTAGTCATAATTCATTCAAAGATTCATTTTCAAACTGTGAGCAGCATTTTCGAGACTTTTACAATAGTTGGAACGGCTATTGGGAGGAACTGCCAGCAGGGTCGTAGCACCCATTCCGAAATAATTGACCCACCCAACTCGTGAAAAAAAGCTTTCATCGATAATTTCCATTCTCTGGTCAAGTAGCCAATCTGGCCGGACAAAACTGAAATCCCAATGCTACGGCCCTGATCAGCATCGAATTCCTCGCTTCGTTCAGAGGGTTTGTGAGAGATAGAAGAAGAGTGTGTTGGTCAGCTTAGAGTGCACGCACGGTTGGGCGACTGAGATCAAACATTAACTGTATTTCCCAAAGCTTCATATAAAAGCAATCACCAGACAACTCGTAAAAAAGACCCTGGATGATGGGCACTACAATCCATTTACCAAAAAGTGGATCTCTGGCCCCTTTCAATCCGATCTAGGCCGGATCAGCTCAAAACCCAATCCTTATTTGCGCGGAATGAAAAAAATGTGGATTCCATCTTGAATCACTTGGCAATGGTTTAGTGGAAAGTTTTAGGTATCTGATGGTATACAGAGGCCAGTGCTTTGGCTCAGTGGTTGTGGGCTGCATGTGAGGCATGGGGACCGAGTTCGAGACCCGAGATGGCAGTGTGTGCACTGCGCCAACGAATGCAGCGATGCATGCATGAACCACTTTATATGCTATGACCTGTGCCGAAACCCACAGTTACCTGGGTAGCCACTACTCGGAGTGAAAGTCAGGATAACACATGCATCCAGCTAACGCGGTGTTGCCGTTCGTCGGCTGCCGCTGGTTTCTGAGACTTACAATCTCATCCTCACAGGTACGCACTCCATCTGCCACCATTGTATAATCAGGTGTGGTGGCGGACTGGTACAAACAAAACTTACTACGCTGGTTGTGTTTCTCAACACAATCTCCTTTAGCAGGTGGTGACGCGAATGTGCAGACTATGCTTTACTTCTTTTAGGATTCAGAAATGCAGCATGGCTATGTATGATGGTTCTACAGGTAAGATCGGCGGTGCCGTCTATGCAAGTTTAGCTCCCAAATGATAAAATAGGATAGACAAAAGTACACATGGACATGAGGATCAGGATCTCATGGAACATTAAATTGCCACACACCATTCGATCACGAGTCTGTTGATGTCTGTTCCACCTCCAAAAGCTGTGCAGTGGCCGTGACAACAGAAGTAGAGAGAGAGAGAGAGAGAGAGAGAGGAGAGTGAGAGAGAGAGAGAGAGAGAGAGAGAGAGAGAGAGACACACACACACACGTACAGCAAATGAAGGCAGCCAGAGAGGTCAGATATTTCATGGTCAACAGAGTTACGGTGAGTGGAACACCAGTCTTCGACCGTCACATCAAACCAACCTTGCTGTCTCCCCCCCCCCCCCCCAACATAGGCGCATATACCAGTACATTTAGGAACCCGGTCTCCGATCATCTCGGATTTCCAATCTACGACCATTTGTATGGTCCCTGACAACTGAAAGTATTCGGAAATGCAAGCATTAACGACCATTGTATGGTCGGGATGTCCCTTTAACAAATCAGATCTCTTGTATGAGTAAATCAGACCCCTTGCAAACCAGATCCCTTTGTAAATCAGACCCCTTGCAGATCAGATCCCTTGCAGATCAGATCCCTTGTAAATCAGAGCCCTCATTTTAATCAGACAACTTCGGTCGGTCCCGAGGGTGGTCGCATTTCCGAGGCTCCACAACAGCTCAGCACCCTACCTTAAGACTGCCATGACTACTTCCGGCCAGCACGCTCAGCGTCTCGTCCTAAACATCACACAATGAATATGCGAAGGCAAAGCAAACAAGAATGGCAAGAAGGTCAAGGCATGGGAATGCAGGGGGGGGGGGGGGGGCAGGAAAACAATCACAACGGGTTTCTGACCAAATGTTTCCAGGGAATAGCAGCCATAATCCATTCCAGCCATCAGCAATGAGGACTATTTCACTGAAATTACTTATTGTCTCCTGCCTCCAAGTTTTTGGGATCGTATGCATGAGTTACTACACTGGATTCCTAAACCTGTGACTTGAAGGGGGGGGGGTGAAAAGTGAATACAAAGGTATTTTCAATTTGTGACTTGAAGAAGTGATAAATTTCAATAAACAATAAATGATGTAAAATCTCTCCTCGTGTTAGATGATCAGCGAAGACAAGGTACTAGTAGGTTGGAAGAAGTCGACCAACATCAAAAGGATCAAAAGTCTCTTGATTTTGAACACTGCCTTGGCAACTGGTTCCTACAAGCATTGCTTGTAAGAAGGATCCACGAGTGGGATTCGAACCCAGCACCCCTGTCTTACCGGGACAGTGCCCTAGCAATTAGGCTACTGGGGATCACACACACGCACGCACGCACGCACACACACACACACACCATTTGACACGCCATTTGACACCCATCGCCAGAGGCGATGATAGCGATGCTACAGCAGAAGTCATAGCAACTTGTGCTGGGATTGCACCATTCAACGGTTTGCGAGGCTGAAGAATTGGCCGCCACTATTCAGCCTGGTCTACACCACACAGCTATGAAGTGGCTTTTTCCGGCCAGTGACACACACGTGCACACACACACGTGGCTCCTTCTTGCTACACAAGTAATGGCAACGGAGCACAACCACGTACCGGTCTGCATGCCAGAGCACTGATGAACGGCTGCGGTCGTAACTGACTCTGAACAGCGGCCAGCACACAAGCAGGATAAAGGCAGTGAGATGAGAGATGCTGTAAGAGTTGAATCTCTAGCGGGGCACACAGTTTAGCGCTCAACGAGAGAGAAAAATCCATCGTTGTCCCAAGAAACATTACTAGTATGCTATTCCTTCTCTCCTTTGCACGAGAGAAACAGAAGACGGGTTTAAACGGCAAGGTCATTTAACTTTGTGCCCACCAAGTGGGGACAAATTGCAAATTGTTTAACTTGACTCGTCACACTTTTACAGTAACTCTTCTTCTTTGGACTGGCCGCCACAAATAATTGAAATAAATCGTCATAATGTTCGTTATGTACAGTAGAACTTCCCTTATCCAGGCAGGTTGGGACCAGGCAATACCCGTGACCAGAAACTGCCAGCAACTCGGAACACACGTGCTTCTGTGTGTGCAAGTCAACACTTGCTTATGCCTACGACTACTGTTGCGGCCGTTTTTCGTTGAAAGGCCTGCGGTCGTGTGACTCTAGAGGGGTGAAAAGGGTGCTCGGTAGACGGGAGTGCCCGGAACCGGGGAGTCCGGAAGAGGGGAGTCCAGAAGAGGGGAGTTTACTGCACAATGACAGTATTTGTTCCAGTGAACTCTGTATCAGCCTCTGCTCGTGTCCCTAGAAGAGCGCCGACCCTGTGCACTAGGTTCTCGGCAAGATAACATGATGGTATTTTCTCTCTCTCTCTCCCTCCCTCCCTCCCTCTCTCTCTCTCTCTCTCTCTCTCTCTCTCTCTCTCTCTCTCTCTCTCTCAGAACATAAAGACAACTGCCGATGAAATGGTGTCCACTGAACTTGTACATGCATGCGCGTTGCCACTAATCCTTACCAGGAGACCAGTTGGCCGTGCAAACTGACGACGTAGCAATGGAACGCTGAGGTGCTTGCAGTAGCCAATAACGGAGTTATCCTCGCTACCTATAACAGCACAACAACAACAACAACAACAACAACAACAACAACAACAACAACAACAACAACAACAACAACAACAACAACAACAACAACAACAACAACAACGGCGGCGGTGGCGGCAACAGCAGCAGAAGCAACAAGAACAAAACAAGAACAAGAACACCGATAATGATGATGACAATGGCAGCAGGAACAGCAGCACCAATCCCAGTGGCAGTACCAGCAGTGTCTTTCCAAGCAGAAGAACAAAACGATCTTGAAATGGACATAAGCAGCCTTAGTATAACACGTGCCCAAGCTCAATGTGCTGGCTGTAAAGGCGCTCTTCGCCGTAATGCTTAACCAGAGCCACACGTTTGCCGGGATAGTGTGTGTGTGTGTGTGTGTGTGTGTGTGTGTGTGTGTGTGTGTGTGTGTGTGTGTGTGTGTGTGCACGCGTTCGTGTGCACGTGTGCGAGTGTGCGTGCGTGTTTACGCCTTCCTCTACACAGCGTACCGCAAAAGAGCAAGTGACTGTGGTCGGGCATGCTGGTAGTCGTGGCAACGGTGTCCGCCGCCACCGTGGCCATGCCCACAGACCAGCGTGAGTTGATCACACCCCCGTAGCTGCAAAGAACTTGACCCCGCGTGATGTTCCAGTGTAGCATTTGACCATTCAAAGTGCTGCAGAGATGGGACAAGAACAAGAACAACAGCATCCGCATCAGTGTAAGTATAAGTAATGTCATCTTCCGGTCACTAGCTTTCCATTTACTTGAACCGGGAAATGCTTTCGATTTGCGTGCACAGACCAACTTGCGCGTGGAAATATTTGCGATTGGAGTCTACAGTCCTGGTGATGTCCTAGATAGGACATCACGGAACCCAGCATGCCCCAGCATACATACTATGCTGTTCCCATAGTAATCGTGACACGTGACTCAAAACTTTGTGTCGCGTCCGAGGAAGATGAACATGTCGCACTCAAAACAAACGCAACGAAGGCCTCAGGCTTTCGTCTCAAAAGTAATTATTAGTTGTCGTTCTCCTGGAGGCTTGCCTCAAGCGAGTCGAGATTCGTATCTTGCCTCTTGCCTTCACGAATTTTATTTTCCTCGTTGTGGAGTACGCCTGGACAAAGGAACTGGCAAGCGAATCGTTTTGGTCACATCGAAAATTGCAAGTGCACAAGAGGATTGGCAAAGCAATTTGTGTTCGCACTTTCAGCAGAGCAGTAGCTGCTGCTGCGATAAAGTTTTTACTATCGCCATTGGCTTCAGGCAGCAGAAGGATCTGGCTGAAAGCGATGGCGATACATCCATGACCACCACGTCCTGGGTTGATATCCAAGAAAGACCGTCCAAGGTCCAGTTTTAGGCAAGAGCTGTCATATCCAAGAAATCAAAAACGCCAACAGCAAGCTTTGGCCAAATAATATCTTCCAGGCAGTAATTTACGGGCCTAGCGCCTGCTGGCTCGTCTTCCTCCTCTGCATGGCCAGGTTTGGGGCGAAATGAACGCACGGGGCGTGAACATGGTGAAGAAACATTCCAAAGGCAAAATATTCAAAATTAGAACCAATCGTTTCCAAAGAAGCGTCGCGTGGCTACGAGAAACCCCACATGAAATCCCCAAACGAAAACAGCCATTCGGTCGGGTATTCGATGGAGAATCGAATATACACTACCTCAATCCCCGCCGATGTCTGATATTCTCCGCCTATTCCCTCAAACTTGACCAATTCGGAAAGAAATCCATCGCCATTACGATCGTGCATCCTCCACATACATTCAGAAATGCTCACGCAGCACTTCTTTTCATCGCGTGTGCGCGACCGACGCTTCCATGACAACTCTGGGACAGGTAACCAATCAGACTCATTCAGAGTGCGATGTCCTAGATAGGATATCTCCCCGACTGGTCTATTTCATTAGCTTTATTACGTACATTCCGTGCCGGAATACCTTTACAATCTCACACTTTCCTGTAGTGCCCGGTACCCGGGGGACTGGGATTTCCTGTAGTACCCAGGGACAGGCTATGACCAGTGACAACCCTGTGCACCAGGCATTCACTGTCCACATTCTCCACAGTGCCTTACCCAGCCACCAACTCCTCTTCGCCGAGGAAGGTGAAGTTGCTGATGCGACCATCGCAGGACAGGGTGGTCCTGGGCTCCAGTAAGTTGCGCATGTCGTACAGCTTCACTGTATCTAGAGCAGCGGAGCACACATAGTACATCCGCAAACAGATGCTTTGAATAAGACCATTGTGCATTGCCAAATATGGATTGCATAAGTAATGCATGTGAGTACACTGGGATCAGCAATGCACTGTTCAACACCCCAGACGACCATGCCCAGGTGGCTGTGTGGGGTGTTTATGGTGCAAACACGTAATTGCGCAATGGGCTTACAGGTGTTTTGTTGCAGGAAAACGAATTTGCACACAGAGCACAGAAGCCAGTCGAAATCTTGACGAGGCCTTTAGCACCATTTCTCTTCAAAGTTGGTATATTGGTTATATGAACAGCAGCAAATGAGTCCTTTTTGCGAAAGGCCCTGTCAAAATTTCCAGCGACTTCTGCGTTCCATGTGCTGCACACAGATGTGTATCCACAGCAACACAAGCACATGGCTGCATGCACATGCACAAACATACCCCCCCCCCCCCCACACACGCACACGCACGCAAACAAAACACATGAATACACATCCACAACACGCATGCACGCCCCCCCCCCCCATAAAGTAAGTAAAGTAAATTATCGTATCCGTTCCCAAAGGGAACTCACGACGGCCGCTAACGGCCGCTAACACCCGATAAACCCTCCCTCCCCCCCCCCCCCCATGTACAGTTTTAATAGCCATGGCACGCACTGTCTGTATATAAAGTTAAAAATACTGGCGTGCAAAAGCAAGAAAATGCACTGAGTTTACTGCCAGCAAGGTGTAGGTAAAAGACATGTATAATACATGAAGCTATTCTATAGTGCAAGGAGTGGTGGCAACCACCCGGAGCTTGTTAATTACCTCCGGCTGCAACACCAATCTCTTGATCTTTTCCAGGTCGAAAGTGAATGCCAGTAACAGCGTCCAGGGTTCGCAGCATGGCAACTGATGCTGGCTTTCGAAAATCCCACAACCGAACTGCACACAGCACAGGGAGAGAAAAGAAGAAAGAAAAAGAGAGAGAGAGAGAGAGAGAGAGAGAGAGAGAGAGAGAGAGAGTTAGCCAGAGTAAGCAACCAATCAAGAACAGCCAGTCAGGAATTACTAACCAGTTCTGTCATGTGATCCCGATAAGCACAGGTCGGGCTGGTTGGGATGGAAGACACACTGGCACTGCGGCCATTCCTGCTGAGACGGAAATGTGCTGTGTGTAGTCGGTCTGCTGCTGTGCTCCTGGGAATAGCGGTAATGCATAACCAAACAAAAACATGCACACACACGCACACACAGACACACAACACAACACACAAGACAATGCACCCACACCCACACACCCACACACCCAAACACGGTACACACACGGCAACTTGGAAAACATTCGCAAACGGACGGACGGGTGCCGATTTTAACAGGTGAAGCCCTCATATAGCTGCACTTCAAACGGCAGATCGTGGTCTTTATCGTACCTGTGGCTGTGTTTGCTGATGCACAAGTTGATACTAAACCTTTCTACACAGTTACACTTTACGTTTTTTTATACTTGTAATTATACGTACAGTGGAGATTGGATATAACGACCTTGGGTATAACGACAAATCGAGTTTAGCGACACAATTCTGTTGCCCAAGTCGTTTAGCAAGTCCTTTCTGTACATTATAGATCGGGTATAACGACCTCGAAAATAACGACAGATCGAATTTACTGACACTTTTTTGGTGCCCGAAGACCTGAAAAACAGTGAAAATACATCGGATATAACGACTTTCCTCTTGTACCAGGCAGACTGGCATGTCTGGAACATGGTATATTATGGCTGTGCCACGTGCCCGGACCTCCGGGTCACTCATATCATGTGTGCTTTACATTGCACGTTGTAGCTGCAGTGCAGCGGTGCGGGATGACTTTACCTTGAACAATGCATGCAAGACACATGACTGTACAATCATACACATCTGTTATCCACATGTACAATCATGGACAAGTATATCTACAATACATTTCTGTCATTTTGATATACATATTGCATACTAAGTGTGAAGATAGGGTTGTTTTAGTGACAGATCGAATATAGCGACATTTTGCTTTCTCCCGAAAGAGTGTCGTTATATCCAATCTCCACTGTACCTTCAAGGGACATTAAAAACTGTATTTTACAGTCAAGGCCGATTCACAATACCACTTTTTTGCGACGTAACACACGACTTGCGACAGTTGCGACAAGAAAATGCCTGTCGTAAGCTGCCGCGAGCTGTCGAATACAGTCGCAATGTACCTGTCGCAGAAGTTGAGAGAAAGTTCAACTTGTGCGACGTACGACGCGCGACACACACAAATGCAGTACAGTTTCTACTCTGGGTGCATGTACTGTACGTGCACCTACATGTTTTGATCTGCAATACATAGGGATGTTGCAAACACGTAAAAGACAGTGAATCGTGTGTCGCAGTCGCAGCTCGTCGCAGGTCGCATCGCAAGTCGCATGTCTCGTCGCAAGTCGCATGTCTCGTCGCAAGTCGCATGTCTCGTCGCAAAAGTGGTATTGTCAATGGGCCTTCAAGGTACTGTACCAATGGCCAATTGACTGGTATACCATAAGGCAGGGTCCCCGAAACTAGTACAATAAAACCTGCAGTGACTCAGCGTATCCCATCAAGAGCCCATAACATTTATAATGTTTTGAAGCTGAATATTGAAAGATAATATTATGCCGATGGCAGATCATAATTATCGTACTAACTTCATGTATGGATTGCCTACAGACGAGATCAAGTAAGCTGTTTCTGTTGCTGCTCGACGCTCTTGCTCGTGGACATGGCACGCTGCTGCTGCTGTGTACCTGGCTGCTCTACGAGTGCTGAAGCTGCACTATTATGGTTCACCGATACGCTTGGGCCCCACTGCCATTATCATCTCATACGCACAGCCTGTGCAATTGCTTTAGCCTTTTCTCTGCTCTCTCTCCGGTTGCACTAGATCGAGAATAGCATTCCATTCGATTACAGAACTATCGGATCTGTTATCGGCCACACCAGAAGGTAAGTAAGTTAACTTGTTTCACATTCAAACTAATAACAGTTGTAGTTCATGTCTCTTTGCACCACAATAAACATCAGTGACATCGTTAACTACCGATGCCAGGCCGCATCATTAACGCAGCTAGTGGGGAAGCCCTAGTAGTAGACAAACCATACGAGGAACTTGAATCTTGAGGGTTCCAAGCACCACCACGTTTGTTCCAGTCATTTCCGCAAGGCGGACTTTGAAGTGGACTCTTTCTTCGTTCCAAGCTCGCTGAGACCGGTGACCCTGCGGAGTGGCCAACGGAGATCAAGAGGGCAACTGAAGCCTGACGCAGTACCCTGTCTGAAGGTACCCTTGCAAAAGGATCCTGCATGAAGGAACACGTATCTAGAGAGGAACGGGTTACAAGTAGAGGAGGCGAGCAGGCGTGTTGAAATCAGATGCCAGTCCATGGAACTAGCAAATAACACAACCTGCGGAGGAGAGGAACTATGTTGTGCAGGGAAAGCCAGATCCTCAGACTATTCCGAGAGGGTGAGGTTTGCGGGCAGCCTGTTACAGCGGAGACAACAGAGCGATGACCGTTGCTGATCATCAAGACGACATGCGAAAATGACCGCCGCTGCCCATGGGTGCCGCAGCCATCGCATGGTCACGGTGCGGCTCGCACAGGATGCTGCAGCCGCATGGCTCATTCCTGCGGCCATCTTGCTCTGCGGTGGCCTTTTCCCCACTTTCTATCTCGCCGGGGATGCTGTAAACCGTGCGTCCATGACACCACAGTCTTTCTACAAAGTCCAGACCAGGTTACTTTGCCATGTTATACACAAAGCATGGGGTTACCACGTTTCTGGTTTGCATACCATATGGGCTGGAACATCGGTGTCGCTTTGTTGTGATGCTCGCTGCAATTACCCTGTTTCAGCGCCAAGTACGGAGAGGGCTATTACGAATAAGAGTATTTCCTTGGTCCTTTTTCTTTCCTACGAGTGATTTTGCTGAAATTTGTTTAACAGCCCTAGTGTCCCCTACCATTAACGGTCCCTGCTCTTTCCTGCTTCTTTTCCCTTCATGATTCATAGGTAAATACATTTCTCAAAATGCGAAGACTCCAGTGTAGCCATCCACTATACCCATACATCTTCACGACACTCTCCAAACGGTCGCTAGGCTACACCAATCACTAAAAGAAAAAGAGATCAGGCCGCACCGAATAAGTCTTTGGTTTCGGGTAACATGGCCAGAAAAATGCCGGTCGGTCGGTCGGCTTTCTTTTTTTTCCTCATAATTTGTATGCATGCCAGACCGGTATGCACATCTCAGTACACAGCTCAGATAGAAAATGCGTGGTCGATAAATCAAGCATACATGTAGACTATATAGCAATCAACAGCTCGATCAGACCACGAGGAATAGCCAAACTGGTCAGACACCGAGCAGAGCAGAGCTCCGAGACGTTGCGCATCAACACATCGTTCAGCAATTGCCGCGAGCCAGGAACTACAGCTTGGCCTGTTGCTCCAATGTAAAGAAAAAGAATTGGCATCCGAACTAAACATGAAGTCCAACAGTATCACTCTTGTCAGCACCGTTGCGGCTTGACCCGGTTTCGGAAGCAAACACTGCTTTGAAGCGAGTGACACCTTCTGGATGAAGAGTTTCCAACAAATTGCTCAGGGTACGTGACTTGAACAATGCAGCTGTTGACGACAGTCCAGCCACCGTTAACTATAATGACAGAAACGTTTTGCCAGCAGAGTTTCTAAAACATGTCAGTGTCGAAAATATTACGCTTGGCAAATAGAACCACACTGCAACAAATCAGACTCGTTCGAGTCAACTCGAAACAAAGGACTGAAATGTCTAGCCGGCCAGAGTCAGGAGCAGGAAGGAAGAGCCTTGGCCTTGGACCATAACGCGAAGTGCGAGCACGTACATGTACATGTACATGCGTATGATGCACATATGCATGAATGCATATAAACAAACAAACAAAAAAATGGTCGGCGTTCAAAACATCGGTCGGTTGGGTTACCCTATACCAAAGGCTAATTTGTGATCTCGGCACCTATGCCCGCGACAGAAAACAATGGAGTAACATCTGCTCAGCCATTTAATCTAGTACTGCTCTTCTTAAATTTGACCTTTATTACAAGACTCTTCTTTTCTTTTTCATTTCGTTCTCCCACTCTCACACACACATGCTCACGGTTAATTCTGCCGTCGTGAGTCCCATTCGGGACAGATACGAGAATAATAATAATAATAATAATAATTTGAAACTCGGATGTTGAGCCATAAATAAATTATCCATATAAAAATCGCTCTGTGAGCGGTTTTGAAAAACCTTTACTGGTACTGCCCCGTCGTAAAAGTAAGAAATTAGAACTGGCCCATTGTTCCCCCAAATGCGAACTGATCCACCTAAATCGCGAATGACGGGACCCGAACGCACCAGTAGCACGAGGTCGGGAGGGCACAGGATCACGGCAATTATCATAGGGTAACACCAGTAGTAGTAGTAGAATTTATTATTTTGATAGGGAAGCCTACCGCTAGTACAGTACATGGCCTATGGTCCGGACCAACGTCCCCATCTGCATCCACAGGTAGGAACCTCGTGCTACTGGTGCGTTCGGGTCCCGTCATTCGCGATTTAGGTGGATCAGTTCGCATTTGGGGGAACAATGGGCCAGTTCTAATTTCTTACTTTTACGACGGGGCAGTACCAGTAAAGGTTTTTCAAAACCGCTCACAGAGCGATTTTTATATGGATAATTTCAGCTCTTTTTCCGTTCCCTCCCCACCCCAACCCCGAAGGTAAACATGATGACCACGCGCGCGATGTACTGTATGTAGCCATGCGACTGCAATAACACACTGATACATACCAGCCCTCCCCGCCTCGCTACCCCGCACACAGATACACAAACATGTGTATGCACACGGCACACACACGTGGCCACGCACACATACGCACATGCACACGGCACAAACAGGAAATTCTTCATGTATAATGCCATGCAAAGCAGTGGCCACCGTACTTGAGGAAGTCAGTTGTGAAACAAAAATAATTCAACTACAGCGTGTAGACAAGCTGACGGCCAAAGCACAACATAGCAAACATGACATTTGCCCAAGGATTGCAGTTTGCAGACCATGCCATGGAAGCAGCGAATACAGAATGTAATATCATACAAAGTGACAAGCAAGGACGTAGCCATCATACAGGAGAAACTTGCAGAAAGTCACATATCCAACAGATAGAGAAGTGAACAGCAATCTGATACAGCCCACACAGGACAAAGCGGACCTGATACTCGTCCCAGGATCGCAAGTGGCAAACCCTTTTCAATGCATAACATGCAGGTGTACGTTAGACGCATGAACATCTGACCGTGTCGCCAGCATACAATGTCATCACATGTTTACCCCACAAGTTACACACATGCACAGTAGAAGCACAATGAAAGCAATGGAAAAGTACGATGTGGTTGCTGAAGCATCTTCACACTTCAAATTCAGACTTCAATGTGGTCGTCACGGGATGATATACCTGCAAGATACAAGTGATGAAGAAAGAAAGCAGAAGGTCGTGAGGTAGGCTATGAGACACCACAAACGGTTCACCTACATGTCTGTTCAGGGCTAGTGCACTCACACGGAGAATTGTCATAATCGAGCATTTCGCAAACTGAGAAGTGCAATGAAATCCACTTGCATGCACAGGAGCAATTTTGCAATATTATGATGCGCAATTCGACACGATCTGCGATGCTGCGTGCGATGTGCCCTGCTGTCATGATAGTGACAGTCACCGCGGTATGTTTTGTCAACGTCGCCCGTGCACTCTTCTGTCAAGTCCAAAGTGCTCACATACTTGGCAATGTTTTTGCAGTGATTAACTTTTATCCTAGTTTTCTTTTTTACTCTCTTTCTCACTCCTGTGTGCAGCCACACCATACGTGCTCCCACCCCTAACACACCTCAGTCACATGCACACCCACATGCACACGCACACAGCAACAACAAACAGCCTCTGCGGGGACAGCAGCAACAGCAAGAAGAAAAAGAATGAAGTACCCGCAGGCCGTGTCGATCTGCACATCGTCCACTCTCTCATGTACTTGGCCTGCTTTGTCTGTGTATCCATTTCATGTGCGATCCACAAAATCGACTAGACAGTGGGTGCAATACGCTCTCTACCTGAAGACGTTCTTCTGGCGACATCTCGCCATGTACTTGGCCTGGCTTTGGCTGTGTATCCATTTCATGTTCGATCAACAAAATCTCAATGCACTACAGAGACTAGACAGTGGGTGCAATACGCTCTCTATCTGAAGACGTGAACCATTATATTTTTTGGAAAAGTTATACGTACACCTGAAACGTAATGAAGTACAGGAATAGAGAGAGTGGCTGCAATACGCTCTCGACCTGATATAGTGATAACGTGAGTACGAGACACTCTCCACCTGATAACGTGTTAGAAGGTAACATGTCTACAGTCCCACCGTACCCTTCCGACACGACTGTGGACCATTAAATTTTTTTTGAGAAGTTATACGTACACCTTAAACGTAATGAAGTACAGGAATAGAGAGAGTGACTACAATACGCTCTCGACCTGATAACGTGAGTACAAGACACTCTCCACCTGATAACGTGTTAGCAGAAGGTAACAGGTCTACAGTCCCACCGTACCCTTCATTATTCCTCATTCACCATCGCGCGATACCCTGGCACACACTGGCAACATATCAATGGGGTGCCTTACCGTCGTCTAGAGGAGACGTCTTCGCAGCAATATTTTCCCTCCTGCGCATTCAGTCGCCGACGCGACAGCGTTCACGGGGCCGTTCCGGTTGCGGAAGACATTCGATTCATCGGGCCAATTCAGAAACAGGGCCGTGGACACACAGGGGGCAGAGGAGAGACATTGTTAGTGGACAAGAAATATGCAGTGGCAAGTGGCGAGTGCCGCATGGGTGTCAAGTTGTCATGCACAATTCAGCTATTACTTACGGTCCAGCTAGTCCTGCCATTGCTCGCTCGTCCTGGTTCCTCCTCGTTCGTCTTCCTGCACGTCTGCACTTCTCCTTCCCCACCGTTGGCTTTGCGGTACGGGGGTGCCGGAAGGAATTCCCACCATGTATCCATGTACATGAAGTCCCACCATGACTCTCCATGTACATGTCCACGGCCACGTCAGCACTTTGTATAGTACCGGAAGGAGTTCCCACGATGTCTCCAAAGGCCTAGAGCGGACGTCTTTGCAGCAATTCTTTTCGCCCTGCGCATTCAGTTCGCCGACGATGTCTCCAAAGGCAAAGGCCTAGAGCCTAGTAGAGGGGACGTCTTTGCAGCAATTCTTTTCACCCTAGTACCCTGCACATTCACTCCGCCGACACGACAGCGTTTACGGGGCCGTTCCAGGTGCAAAAGGTCCACGTCAGCAGTTCTCAACTATTTCGCGTACGGGATAGTCGCCGCGACAGCGTTTAAGGGGTCGTTCCAGGTGCAAAAGGTATCCATCAATGGCACTTTGCAGTATGGGGTACGGAAAAGGGGCCTCCTCGTTCGACTTCGTCGACTTCTGCAGTTCTCCTTCCCGTCAGGGGTACCGAAAGGGGCCTCCTCGCAGTTGTCCTTGCCGTCAGGTCCACGTCATGCAGTTCTCAACTATTTCGCGTACGGGATAGTCGTCTTTGTCGTACGCGACATCGGCGTTTACCGAGTGGCATTGGCACAAAGCAGACCGTTGACGGGGTCACGTGTCAAAAAAGTATCAACAACGTGTCGACTACGTGTCGACCACGTGTATAGCGGTACACTCAGCGGTACACTCAGCGGTACACTAATTCTCGTGCCATTCTCGTGTCACAAAACTGGAACATCGAGTACCAGTATGGAAAGGCTTCAGACAGGAAGCCTTTCCAATGTAAAAGAGAAAAGGACATATGAATACGAGTTTAGAGTAACTCTCTAAACTCGTATCCATATGTCCTTTTCTCTTTTACAATAATACTAATAATAAAGGCTAATTCGGTGCGGCCTAATCGTTTGAATTTTCGGGCAAGGCCCATCTTCTCTTTTTCATTTAGTGATTGGTGTAGCCCAGGTACCATTTGGCGAGTATTGTGAAGATGTATGTGTGTATAATTCATAGGTAGTGATGTTATTCTCAACCGACTTCAAGATTATTCCTGAAGACTCTACCCACAAGTGAAATAATAAGACTTCCTGTGTAGGATTTGTTATCCGGTCGTCAATCCTCTACAGTGCAAATCTCCACTGATGTGCAAGATAAAGTAGGACTCTGTGATTTCAGTCACGGTTCGAATTCCAGTCACGGGCTCCGATATCAGTCATACAGTCACAAGCTCTCTAAAATCGAATCACCAAGTCTTGTACATGTACATGACAACCATTGAAATTCATCTCGCTGTTGTCTGAAACCCAGAAGCTGGCATATTGAAAAAGAACTACTGATACGGGGATTGTATCTGAGCGGAATTTGGAAAGTGGAAACTGCGTGACTGATATCAGGACCCGTGACTGGAAATAGGGTCTTCACTGATGAGTCCTACATAAATTTACACTGATGAACCCCGAGTATAGCCCCAGTCTTCCGATGATTGATTTTCAGCATGAAACTCGTGAGTAGAGACATTTGATCACTTTTTGTTCCACCGGATTTTCGTTTGTACTAAGCTCTGCGCGCCGTGTATTGAGCACTGTGATCGGTAATCAAGGTTCTTCTGTGTATTTACACTCTTAAAAACCTAATGAATTTGTCTATGAATACTATGCATATCTAGTCTAGTACCGCGTGCTAATGCGTTCACTCCCCAAACCTAATGAATTTGTCGATGAATACTATGCATGCCATAGTCGATGACCATAATGCGTTCACTTCTTCCTTTTCTTTTTCTTCTTTCATGCTACATGTAATGGAATGATCAATCACCGTCCGCCTTCTGGCTACTGACCGAAGCACGATGATCTCACCCAGGCACACAGCCGGCACGTCACTTACCCGGAACTGCATTGGCTGCAGCTTGGCAGTGTCCCAGAGCCAGAGCCTGCCCTGTTGGTCGCAGAACACTAGCTGGCACGGCCTCAGTCGGTTCCATGTGGCCGAGCTGCAGGAGAAAAGAGCAGTAAACACAAATTAGTATATGGGTTATAATAAGTGTTGAAATGATCTCACCGGGCACTCGTTAGCTCGCTCGCCAGAAACTCGGCTTATTCGTGCGGCCAGCTCGTTTGCACTAACGAAAACCGTACACCGTACGGCACATACATGGCAGTACATGTCGACCAGGGGGTCGTAACATTTTTACGACTCCCTAGTCGAGTACCGTAGAATCCCGCGAATAAGCCCGTGGGCTTATCTGTTTCATAAGGACATTTCGGTGGGCTTATACAAGAACATGGGCTTATACGCGGGCATGGGCTTATACGCTGACACCAAACGTGCGCATTGAAAAGTACCAAGGAAGTGAGAAGTACATTGCTGAAAGCCACTGTGCAAACAGAAACAACCCATGATTGTGTTGAATTGTACAAAAAACCTACATAGTACGACCAAGAGTCCATAATTTATGGACTCTTGGTACGATTAGGTCCATGGGCTTGTACGATGAAGCTTTGTGATGTTCCAACTTTCCCCGGGCTTATGCGCGAGCATGGGCTTTTACTTGGGTGGGCTTATCCGCGGGATTCTACGGTAGTTCAGACAGGTTGTACTAAAAGACCGGTGCTGATTTCCGAATACTAGTATATTATGGTACAAAGCAGTGTTGATTTTACAGTTTTCTCCACCGTCACCAGTACCAGACCCACAATGATAACTCATTCGCTTACTATGTTGCTATGTCCGTCGGCTTCAGGACGGTGGCCATTGCGTTGAACGGCTCCGTGGCCGTGATGAAGTGCTGATAGTCGAAGATCTGTGAGAGCATTGATCACCGGAAGGCCAGCGACATCACTCAGAGTAGCATGCACACATGTGACGAACAGGTAAATAAGCAAGTCAATATGCCCAGTCAGTGGTGACGTGGGCGGCAGTGGCTTCTACTACTGCAGTGCCGACCCACATCACTAGCTTAGTACCCTCACGGCAACACTGGTATGGAGAGCACAGTGCATGCATGAAGAACGGAGGAGAGGTGGATAAAAGCAAGAGGGACGGAGGGGAGAATGATGAAAGCATGAAGAACGGAGGAGAGACGGATGAAAGCCAAAGAACATGTAGTAATGTGTGGGTCGGTCTTCCAAATTAATTACTCCCAATTTGTTTTTCCAAGTGAGATGAGCTTACACAGATCAAATGGACAATGTACTAAAATACATAGCCTGGTGGTACAACAGGTCTTGACCACACCTCTCCTAGTAAAGATGGAGACGAGACAAGACGAGAACTACAAAGGAACTCCCTAGCCCGCAGTCGCCTCTTACGGTGACGAGGCACTTCTCCTTACCTTGACGCCGCCAGAGGAGCTCGCCACGGCAAACCCTGTCCTCAGCGGATTCATCTCAATACTGCAACCCAGCACAATAGCACACACACACACACACACGTGCACGTGCAGGTGAAAACCGACTCAGAACGTAACCTACAGATGGGAGCACCCATAGCTACACACCAGTACATGATCACTAAATCACAGGGAGCAGGGAACATGTCAGCTCTCCAGCGCCAATGAACAAGAACAATTCAGCAATGGTGCGGTGCAATGTGCAAGTCGCTCTGGATGGGATATAAGTCGATGCCCGGGGCACAGTGCCACCGATGTAGAAAGAGATAAAGAGGGGGAGAGAGGGAGAGAGAGGGAGGGAGAGAGAGAGAGAGAGAGAGAGAGAGAGAGAGAGAGAGAGAGAGAGAGAGAGAGAGAGAGAGAGAGAGAGAGAGAGAGAGAGAGAGAGAGAGAGAGAGAGAGAGAAGGAAGGAGAGAGAGAAAGAGAGAGAGAGAGAGAGAGAGAGAGAGAACTGAAGGACAGCCAATGGAATGTGACTGAGTCACCACACTGGCGGAGCAGACATCGCTAAGCGAGGCACATCAGCAACTCTTCTATTGGAACAAACGTCACTCTACACAAAGCACATCTGGTATGACCTGGTACAGTAGCTCACTCAAAGCAAGGCACCGCACTGTCAAGACAAGAAGTACTAAGCGAGGCACAACTCATTATCTTTCGCAGCATGTTGATCGATGTTAGACTCTACCCTGCCTGGACAGGCACCACGCTAAACGAGGCACACTAGCATTGCAATTGTTGTGATAGAAATCACTCTAAACGAAGCACACCAGGATTACTATCGTGGACACAGGACAGGCACCACACTAAACGAAGCACACCAGCACCACTATTGTTGTGATGTACATCACTCTAAACGAAGCACACCAGCATTGCCACCATGGAAGCTGGAGACAGAGATCAGCCCACCACTAGGCGCGGCAAGGCACTGTTACCTATAGATGTGATTGGCGCCGTGGGAGCTGTCGTTGAGCCGCAGCGACTTCACCAGGTTGAGCTCCACCGGCTTGGTCAGCTGGCGCAGTGCCGTGGTAAAGCGGCGCAGGCGTACGCCTTCGGACTCTCGAAACTCCGCGTGGACAACTGCACAATATACAATGTCACCACCATCAGGTCCAGTGAGACAAGCGCGTGGAAGTCATCGTGAATTAAAGAATAGAATTTCCAACACTGCCGACCCCTTTTAGGCTAGTGGCATCACACACCCAGGTATGTGGCATGCATACATCAACCCGGCTAGTTCAGAGAGAACGTTTGAATGCACCCACAAATAGAATAGTCAAAAGGAAAACACTACCCAGAACTGTCAGAACTCGCAGAACGAGGCTTGATCGCAGCTCGGAGTTACATGCGGAAACAACCCCAAGCCAGTAACATCAGGCAAAAACTTGCAGCACAATCTCAGCCCGTTCCGTACGCGTGCTGCTGCTGCTCACCGTATTTGTCCGGCATCTTCATGCTGGTGTAGAGATGGCGAAGGTCGTCAAAGTGCTTGTCCACATTGCTGCAGACCACCACGTGAAGAGAGTTCGCTAGAGGTGCCTGGCCAGCAGAAAAAATAAAAAAATAAAATAAATTCCACGGTTCGCTTGAGAGTCGGCTAGAGGCCGAGTTTTCCTAAAAAATAAAATAAAAACCCGGCAGAATTAGGTACATTTCTGCGACGGTTCATGCATGTTTGGTACATGTATGGAAAAAGAATAGGAGCAGAATTTGAGGAATTGCTTGCCATAAGACTTGTATGGTTCTGCCATTCAATGATTTTCGTGCAGAATCTGTCAATTTTTTAGCACGATACACTAAGACCTACAGCAGCGACCAGCAAGCACCATTTTACCTAATCCTGAAGGGGGGGGGGGGTCAGAGGTTGAAGATGCATGAATTATAGTTGTAGTTGTAGTTGTAGAGGGCCTTTTGGGCACACATACAGGAATGGCCCCAAACCCCGTCAGATTCTCATTGCAGCCTCTTCAACCAAATCTTACTAATACACACACACACACACACGCACACACACGCGCGCGCGCGCGAGTGCACACACACATACACACACACACACACACACACACACACGTACACACACGTACACACACACACACACACACACACACACACACACAACCTGAGTTTGGCTGGAGGCCTCTATTAAATCTTGAGGGCCTGCAAAAAGAAGGAACCGGGATTTCTTTTGAGGGGATAAAATTCACGCTTGTTCAACTTTGCCAGGAGAACACACATACTATACAGCTCTTCATGTCAATGCATGCACACAAACACGACTCACCGTAGTTGTTGGCTCTGCTTGGCGCAGGTCGACAGGTGACGTGACTCCCTCTTTGTTCGGTAAGTCGCTGCAAAGAGAAACAATCGAACACCCAGAACTGCACTGTAGATTTACAAATATGCATTAAGACTATTAAAATGCCGGAAAAATTATGTAAAAAATAACGCTAGATTTATTGCAATGGACAGGTGAGAGTTTTCTCTTCAACTACCAGAGTTTCAGTCTTTGAACATAGGGCCACACCAAGTTAATTCTATGTTTCGCGTCGGACATTTTCTGGAAAAGGCACGGGCACGGCTGTTCGCGCACGGACATCTAACAATATGGAGTCGTTCGGTGCGATTTACGTAACGCGGTACAAACCACATGAATACGATGGGAGTTTGCGTTTTGGGATGAAACTCATGTCACTCTCCGTGTGGTTCCACGATTTCGCAAGTCAAACCAGGATTTATTATTTGAAAGCGCTCGAGCGAGATACTCAATATCCAGACAATTTGAGAGAGAAGGAAGGTAAAAGGAACTCCTGCCGTGGTCAACCAGCATCCTGACCTTTTCGAACCTCTCCAAGCTGTCCCTGGTAGTCTGGATATTGACGCACGCACTGATTTTCAGCTTCTCCTCGCCGGGATCACGGGTGCAACTTTCAAATTTGCCGATATGCACTCGAACAAACGCACAATTGGATCTACATCACAATTTCGGGGCTATCTGTGTGCTTGCTGCCTTTTTCAGCAATACCCCACATGTCTACTGGGCAGTTTCCACCAGGCCTTGGCCTCCTGGACTCAACAGCGACTCCAGCACCATGCCATCTGTCCCCTAAATCGCATGAAATGGTAGCTCAGCATCGAACGCACGGGACCTGAAGTTTGTGCATGGGACGTGATAAAACTTGGTGAAGATAGCCAGAAGATAGTCTTCTACCTGGGAAAACTGAAAGCTAGACTGGGAAAACTCCTGAAAGGTCTTCTTGACGCAGGCATGTCAACGATGAATCAAGGAACGAGCGAGAAAGAAGGCTTGACTTGTGCAACGCGGAACAAACTGTTCCTGAGACGAAGTTGGCCATGTGAGGTACCAGCGGAAAGTTAGTTTCAAGAGGAACACGGAATACCTGTTTTCCGGGTAAACCTGGCCTGGTAGCTTTCTAAATCGAGCGAAAACCACAGCGAAATCGGCTGCTGAGAATTTGAAAATTCAAATTTCAGGGCTGGTATTTGGGATCACAAAACGGCAAACACGTCAGAGGCCATCTTGAATCACTCTACGTCATCAGATACCCGCACGTGATGCGGGGCCGCGAGATCGCGACTGTGCAAAAGTGTACTTGCCAGTGCAGTCTTTGACCTAGCTGCAAGAGCTAGTGCTAGTTTTTTATTTTTTGGTGGTGCTTGAACTAGTTCGAACTGCTTCCCTTCGACTTTCTTTGACAGAGCGGGTGCTGTTAGGGTTTCCTGTTGTCAGTTTGTATCCACCACCGGTCTTGTATGTCAGTGCTTGTACAAGGAGGTGTTCAGTAGTTATTTTCAGTCCGCGCCATGGGTCGCATCCAGGGTAGGAAAAAGTCGCACTCTGACCGGCTTGATTATCCCGAGTCGAGAAAGAAGCGAACTAGTGGCCAGTTCGGCTCAGTATCATGGCCAGCTGGACGTAGATCAGATCGCCCAGAGGTCGAACAAACCGACAGTAGTCCTGAAATCCTTACCTCGCAGAACATTGACGATGTGGAGCGCGGTGTTCAAGAACAAGGAACCATGGTAATAATTGGATTCGCTCCAGAAAATTATTCTCGTGGTTCCCGGTTCCTTTCCCATGACTCTAATATTTCCTATG